TACTGTGTGTGTATATATATATATATATATATATATATATATTGCTATCAGTAGCATTATTTAAATGTGACAGCAATGGAAAAACACAGAATAATGTGAAAATAAAGGGGCATGTACCAAACGAGTCAAGACGAGGAAGAAAACGGGTGATTGTTAGGCACAAGCAAAAGCTTGGCAGTGTTATTTTAATATTATTTACATACTCTTTTAGTATTTTTTTATATTTAAAACTTTATTTCTCATAATTGTGACTTAATTTGTCACAATATGGCTTCATATTTAACGATGTGTCTTTATCTCAAAAACACCACTTTATCATAATGACTCTATTTCTCATAATTGTGGCGTAATTTACCACAATGTGTCTCTATATCTCATAATTGAAACTTTGTTTCTCATAATTGTGACGAAATATCTCACTATGTGTATTTATATCTCACAATTGCCACTTTATTTCTCATAACTGTGACTTACTTTCTCACAATTGGAACTTTATTTCTCATAATTGTGACCAAATATCTCACAATTTGTCTTTATGTGTATTTTATTTGTGTATTTATATCTTACAATTGCCACTTTATGTCTCATAATTGTGACTTAATTTCTCACGTCTTCATATCTCACAATTTCCACTCTATTTTTCATAATTGTGACCTAATTTCTCACAACTGGAACTTTATTTCTCATAATTGTGACCAAATATCTCACAATTTGTCTTTATGTGTATTTTATTTGTGTATTTATATCTTACAATTGCCACTTTATGTCTCATAATTGTGACCTAATTTCTCACAATTGGAACTTTATTTCTCATAATTGTGACTTAATTTCTTACAGTGTCTTTGTATCACACAATTTCCGCTTTATTTCTCATAATTGTGACTTACTTTCTTACAATTGGAACTTTATTTCTTATAATTGTGACCAAATATCTCTCACAATGTGTCTCTATGTCTTACAATTGCCACTTTATTTCTCATAATAATAACTTAATTTCTCACATTGTGTATTTATATCTCATAATTGTCTTATTATCTCACAGCTGTCACTTTATTTATCAAAGTTGACTTAATTACTCATAGTGCATCTTTATATCTCACAACTCACTATATTTCTCTTTGTTTCTCATAATTGTGATTTATTATCTCACAATGTGTCTTTATACAGGTATGTCACAATTGCAAGTTTATTTGTTGTAATCGAGAGTTTACCTTCTGTAATTGTGACTTTATATTACACAACGTGACTTTTTAGTTCTTATTTCACATTTTATCTCACAATTACATGTTTTATTAGTTAATTTTGTGAGTTTTTGGTCAAAACCGCCCCTCCCTACGGATCAACAGATCATTCCAAGAGAGTAAAAGAGTGTTTTTAAATCACACGACAGAAGGATGCAGGTGCACTGTGAAATCACCTCAAAACTACGTTTTCTCCTTCCAGCACGGTAATGTTGTCGGGCAAGTGTCCGAACTCGGCCGCCTGAGCACCGGTGGGCCCTGCCAAAAAAAAGCATTTGCCAACTGTTTTTAATCTATTAGCCAATCAGTGGGAAAAAATTTTTTTTTTCCCCAAATAATTATATAGTTATATACATATAAGTGTTAATTTAATTAATGTTTACAACATGTAGTTAAATGTAACAAAAAAACAACTGGTAAATAAATAAATAAATAAATAACATTTAACAGTTAATTTAACATTTAAGTTTTTTTTGTAACTTAATTATAATTTAAATTGCAACTTTTTGTTTTTGCATTTGCCAGTTAAAGGTCACATATATTATGGATTATGGACTCATATTTTGACCAGAAGCAACAATTTAAAGTTAAAATGTCTTTGTTTGTTTCTTACAAGCACTCAGCTTTTGGCGTCATAAGACACAAACTGATGGACTGGAGTGGTGCGGATTACTTGTGGATTATTGTGACGTTTTTATCAGCTGTTTGGACTCTCATTCTGATGGCACCCATTCACTGCAAGATATGTAAAAGATAATAAAATATTTTAATGCTTCTTTCATATTGCATTTTTTAAAAAAGCATTTGCCAACTGTTTTTAATCTATTAGCCAATCAGTGGGAAAAAAATATTTTTTCCCCAAATAATTATATAGTTATATACATATAAGTGTTAATTTAATTAATGTTTACAACATGTAGTTAAATGTAACAAAAAAACAACTGGTAAATAAATAAATAAATAAATAACATTTAACAGTTAATTTAACATTTAAGTTTTTTTTGTAACTTAATTATAATTTAAATTGCAACTTTTTGTTTTTGCATTTGCCAGTTAAAGGTCACATATTTTACACCTTTCTGGAATTTTATTTTAGGTTTTGATGTCCTTAAGAATATATATTTGCGGTATAAGTACCAAAAACCATCTCAATATATCGCTGCCCTTGATCATCAAATAAACACTGAAACTTTTGAAAGCCAAACCATCACGAATGCTGAGGATCGAGGGACAATAATAAATGTGTGACAATAACCTGCTGGAAAAAGGAAAAGTAGGAAGAAATTACTATATTTTGCCCGATGATTACCAGTTTTAATATTACACGAGGCTGGGATGGGTGATATAACCAAAATTTTACATTATGGTAATGATGTACATTTCGAACACTGAGAAGGTTTCACATGAGAAGAGATTTGAGCTTCCTTATTGAAAAGACCAGCATGTTAGCATCATTACCCACTTAACTAGCTGAAAGGAACAGTTCAGCCAAAAATTTAGTGTTTATTTACAGCAGAGCGGAAGATTTTCAGTAAAAAATGACTATTTTGTGTCTGTTCTGCAAATAAAGCTATCATAAGACTTCAGCCCAGATGACATTTTAATTTATTTTCTTGTTCAATAAGTGATAAATGGCAGATATTATAACATATATACAGTATACAGTCCTTTTTAAAAAGAAAATAAAACACTGAAAATTTAAATAAATTATTTGTATGCTAAAAGTAAAATTTAAAGGGGTCATATGATGCAATTTCAATTTTTCTGCCTCGTTTATAATGGGTTTTAATGTTTTTGTCTCTTTGCTCCAGCCGGACAGGGCATCACAGCATGGTGAGGGGTGTAGCATTTCCGTCACACGCTTGAGGTATTCGGCCAATCACAACGCACTGGATAGCTGGCCAATCAGAGCACACCTCGCTTTTCAGAACGATGAGCTTTGTAAAAATCTACGCGTTTCAGAAAGGCAGGTCATAGAGGAGAAACAATAATGTACAGTATGTGGAAAATATTGTGTTTTTTTAACCTTAAACCGCATAAACACATTTCATTACACCAAATACATAAAATAATGTTCTTTTTAGCAACATCATATGACCCCTTTAAGCATAACGAAGTGATAATGAAAAGTATAAAAAAAATATCCTAAATCTGATACAGAAAATACAACATGCTTAATGCTGAAAATATAATTACAATCTCATAATCTTTTGCTTTGGTTATAATCTACTGCTTTCTATGTAAAGTAGTGCTAAATGTCTCTTAAAATATGCAGAAAAATATGCATATAAATATTAATATAAATACCAATATTGGCTTTTATGCATACCAAGTCTGCATTTATTTGATTAAAATACAGTAAAAATACAGTAATATTATTAAATACTATTATAATTTAAAATAATTGTTTTCTATGTAAATATATTGTAAAATGTAATTTACTCTTGTGATTAAAGCTACATTTTCAGAATCATTACACCAGTCAGTATCACATGATCCTTCAGAAGTCATTCTATAAAATAAATGCGATAAAATAGCAATTATCAATGTTGTGACAACAGCTGTGCTGTTTCATGTTTTTGTGGAAATCATGGAAGTTCAAAAGCAAAGCATTTATATGAGAAGTATAAAAAATTTATATTAAATATGAAAATATATTATAAAGTCCTTACTGTACTGTACTTTTGCTGAAAAAACCCATATTCATTTATTATGAAAAAAAAAAATTAAAGATAATACTATACTGACCCCAAACTTTTGAACAGTTGCACAAACAAAAAATGTGTCATTTTTAAAAAAAGCTATTCATTTAAGCAGCAAAACCTTGGTTGACCAGCTAGTGACCACCTAGACCAGCACTGCACAGCATGAACCAGCAAAAACAGGAATACCTGCTGATCTAAGGGAACTTGCGGCTGTGTAAAGTATGCAAAAGAGGCTGGAGTGGTTCATGGACTGAATTTGTTTAAACGGATCATTAATTCCACTTAGTTCACATCGCCTATTGACTTAGCTGGTGTCGTGAGATACAGATTTGGCTTCGTTTGCAAACAGATTAAGGGATTTTGTACCTCATTTTACACACGCTTTTGTATTGATTACACGTGCACCAGTCTATATGGTGCGTAAACCCGCCGTGCAGTAAACACTGATCTTTCCTACAAAACACATCACGCAACGTAATGCATGGTCCTGTTACCTGACGCTGATGTCTTCAAACTGTTCATGTAATGTCTGCATACTGCTCAGTTCTCCAGATTCCCTCTCAGCATATCTATCGATGCACAGCCCCACCACGAGCCAGAGAGACCGAAATCAGCTCGATAAACTCCAGTGGAGATCTTTACCATCGAACCTTCCAGCTCTGTCAGCGCAGAGGTCCGCATCCCCCAAGACCTGTCAGTTTTACCCCCATTTCTGTCTTGGATAAACGCCCAAAACCCAAAGCAGTCCGAGATCAATACAGCAGTTAAACTGTTACTGGCAGCCTCGCAGAAAACCTCACACGCTCCGGCCCAAAGACAAGGCCCCGCGGTTCCGCGCAAACCCATCCGCGGCTCAATTTGACGGATTTGTTGAAAAGTCTGTTTCAAAACAGCTGGATTATAGTGAACATTAAACACGTCAAGTCGCGTTTAAAATGGTGCAGATGGAACCGAGTTTCTTTTTCTCCAGCTAAAGTGCTGAAAATGCATTGCAAATTGAATTTTTGAGCAAATGCGCATTCACGCTGGTGCTGGCATTTAGATCTCATTTGCCTTTTGTTTCATTTTTCTATGCATAAGCGCTGCGGTGTATCACAATGGAACGAGCTTATTAATGACTCCTGAATATAATGCGCTGAACGCTTCCCAATAATTGAAACTTTTACTGTTTTTTTTTTTTTCCTGCACCACTTGGGGAAAAACCTTGGTGGCTAATAGTGTAGGAAAGTGGCAACCACTCAGAATGAATATGCATAGTTGTTTATTTTCACTTAGGTTGATTTATTGTCATGTTATGGTCGATAGCATATACTGTAATCGGCCAATGTTATAATTAGTACTCCTTTAAAAAAAATTAAAAAAAGAAAGAAAGAAAACAAAACACATTAGAGTAAAATGTGTGCTGGAACTGAATTTGGGCATCACAACATGATAATAAACAGTATGAAAATCAGATTCCTTACATTTCTGTTGTTTGAATTAATAATAACTTAAATGCTGAAAATGGCATATAAAATGCTGCTCCTACATCTATTGCTATTATTTTAATCTAAATCTTAAAATATGTACAATTACAGGTAAATATCAGAAACCTGTTGACTAAATATAGGATATGTTAGAAGTGGCAGAATGCATTTGCATTCATTTAATTAATTTTTTTGTTATAACTGATGAATTACAAATATTATAAATAATTTTGTTTATTACAACATTTCACTTCACAATGCTTTTTTAATGCAAATAAATAACAATGCATGTGTAATTGATGCTTTATATGTGTATTTCATCATTCATATGCTGCCACAGAATGTAGTTTGATTCCACAAGTATATTAACCAGCTAAATAATATTTAGTTACAGAATTTGGTAAGCTTTATCACTATTCCTCATCATCTTTAATTAATAAACAATACATGGTACAAACTAATTTATGACTTTTGTAATGAATCATGCACAATAAGAATTGAAAATAACTATTAATCGCAATTAATCGCATCTAAAATAAAAGTTGTTGTGTACATGATATGTGTTTGTGCAGTGTATATTTATTATGTATATATAAATACACACACATGCATGTATATACTTAAGAAAAATATGTTATGTTTATATATCAAATATATTTATATATAATATAAATTATATGAATATAAATATATACATGTAAATATTTTCAAAATATATACTTTATGTGTGTGTCTTTATATATACATAATAAATATACACAGTACACACACACATTATATAAACAAAAACTTTTATTTTGGATGTGATTAATTGCAATTAATCATTGCCCAGCACTAAAAAAAATAAAATAAATAAATCAAACAAAAACAATTGAAAGTTCCATGTTAAATGCTGAAATTATATAAATGTTCATAATAAATGCTCTTAAATTTCTAATATTGCTGTCCTTTGAGTGCAAGATGATAATCTAAATCTAAAGCCAGGAACATGGATTTTGATTTCATGTTGACTTCAAAGTCCTATGCTTTAGTTCCCTCAGCTCTTGGTCATTGCATGAGGCCCCGCATCACTTCCTGTCTCATCTGA